GGTGAAAAACCGTGTGGGGTTCCAGTCAAGTAAACCGGGGTTCGGGGCAGAACTCCAGTTCCAGGGGGGAGAATGGAAAGGATGAACAGAAACTGGGGCCAAAACCCAGTTGCCAAACAACGCACACAGGTAGCCAGGCCAGTTCTCAGCACGTGGATTCCAAGCTCTCATCTGCAGAGTTCCAGAACCCATGACTGGCTTTTGAAGTTGAAGAATGTGGATAAGGTGCAGGGTTGAGAGGTTATGAAGCACTTACAAAGGCATCAAGAAACTAGTGGGAAATGGCACGTTAATCAATTAGACTGGCAAAAGTAGGGATGTCAGATAAAATACAGGATGCTTATTTACATTTGGATATCAGATAAAGAATGAAAGCATTTTAGTATAAGTGTGTCACATGCAATACCTGGGACATATTCCTATGTAAATAATGTTGTTTACCTGGAATATAAATTTAACTGGACATTCTGTATTTTTATTTACTAATCTGACAAACCCTACATGTGAGTAATGGAGGATGAGGCTGGTAGGCTTGGCAGACAAGGTCACAAAGGGTCTTGTGCGCCGTGCTTGACATATAATGAGCAGTCATGACAGTTTTTAAGTGGGGGAGTAATATAATTGGATTTGCATTTTAGAAATAATCATTGTTGTAGTCCTTTGGAGGACAAAGCTGTTCAGAAAAACAGGAACTGAGAGACCAGAGGCTATTTAAACAGCTCAGACTCTTGGAGAATTGAATATGACTTGCTCACTTCACACTTTTGCCTAACACTAAAGAGATCCCCAAATTCACTTGGGCTGTAGAGACCAAACTATTCTTTCAAGAATTGCTCTTCGGTGTGGTGGCGGTGGTGGGGATATAGATATTTTGCCTTGCCCTTGGAGTCAGTTGCATACTTGAGGAAGCCGGAAAGATACCTGTATATATCAACCTCCTGCAAATAAGCTGGATATCTTGTTCACCACTGCATCCCCAGTAGGTAATCAATAAACACATGAATGAGTTCCTCAAGGGCAAAGTCTATGTCTTCATTATCTTTGTTTTTTTTAGCTTCTGACCCAAGGCTGGGAATAAGTTTCTCAGAAAATAGTTCTTGATTAAAATGGTCTAATTAATTAACAACCAGAAGTGCTTCCTATTAACTACATCTTCCAACATTATTTTAAAGTACAACCTGCATACTTTTCATACACATGCAAAAGAAGCCTGATTTTTTTTGCTGGACTGGAAAACTTATTAAAAGCTGAAGAATTGCAGATTAGATGGAGCTTTAAAAGTAATTATCCTCATTTATTTGAATATGTGAGCATTTTTGTTTGTTTGTTTGGGAGGTTTTCTTGGGCATTTTCCTAACTACTTCCATAAGCTTTGTCATTGCCTGGGTATTAATAAATCTAGAACTTAATTGAATACTTCTCAGGTAGGTTCTCATAAAGTGGTATGAACCAAATGCATGTCTTCAGTCTACCAGCACTGGTATAGTTACTTGAATATATGTCTTTTCCAAGGCTTGTGTGAACTTATTGGGGGCAGAACCTATTCTTATTTATCTGTATAGTCACAGAACTTTCACTAATAGTAGGTTTATTGAATGTTCAAGAGCAGAAAGCCAAAAGGGTTAGAATAACTCTAAGAAGTGCATGGGGCAAATAAAATACAAAAAATTATTACAACCACTCATTAAAGATTATGTCACAAGTATCATGCTAGGTCTTTACATATATTTTATTAAATTTTAATCCTAAAATCTCCTCTTTGAGCCAGGTGTTATTATGCTCATTATATGAGTAAAGAAACTGAGAATCAGAACTGATGAATAACTTGCCCAGGATGACACAGCTAGTGGACCTGATTCCGAAATCTGTGCTCACACACACCACATTGTAATTTTTCATGTGTGTATTGGAAAGATAGAAAATTGTTGGTGTGCCTGTAACAGCGCTCTTTAATCAGCAGCTATGTGGTAACCCAGAGAACTAAACTTTGATCTTCTTTGTAATGTGTGAATGCACATATCTGAAAGACAAGAGCTCTGGAGGTATTTACTATATTTTTGAGCCATGTTCCTTTTTCCTCTGTTCAGCTTTGTATTTAAGGGAGCACATGACTTTAAATATAATTAGGCTTCACCTCCACCTTGCTGGAAGGTGATATTGTTATACTTAAAATTATTATCACACTATTATCATCTGGAATGAATATATGTTATCATCAGTGATGGCAACCTCAATCTGCCCTACAAAATGGAATACGTGCAGTTCGTGTTCATATATGCAATGGAACCTCATCAGTCTGGATGTGTATGAACTCATCTGTGACAACCCAGACCCTTCACTGAGCTGTAAATATAATTGCAAACATCAGTTATTCTCCAGTCTTTAAAGCTGCAAATGTGCAGTTTTTGTCCAGATGCTGACATCTTTTCAGCAGCCCTCTTCAACCTGCTTCCTTAACTAATTGCCAGCCTCCTCACTTAGTTCACTGGGTTTCTGGAGGAACCAGAGTCTCATTAAGAATGTTGCTTCTGATAATTTCATTCCAGGATGAGCAGGGCTGAATCACAACTTGACTTCACCAAACTTTCGGACTCTATGAAAGCAAAGTCAAAGGGCAAGTGTTGGCGTAACTAATCATATGAATTAGAATGAATTTGAAGAAGAGGAGCCAAACATAGGAAAAATAATAAAAGGGGGAGAGAAAGCACTTGGTTCAAAAAAAAATTAAGATAACAAATTATGTTTTGCTTGTCTCTGTTAATTAGAAGCCTGCCAATAATGGTCTGCAAAGGTATAAGAACCAGAAAGCATCTCTAGTGTTCTGCCTTTACCAGAAACAGGGAAGGAATTTCCTGCAGATAGTCAGGATGGAATTTTATGGAAAAAACCTTCACAGGTCTCCTTCCCTCTCTCATTCATTCTTTATCTCACCAGATAGGGTGCTAAACATGGGAGATATAAAATGAATGCGGCATGGCCCTGGCCCTCCAACGTTATCCTCTAGTTCACTGAAGTGTCAAAGTCACCAGGAAGTAATATTCGAAGGACACAGTGGGTCCACAAAGAGGGAGAGGTCAACTCTGTGATTCTTTAAAAAAAAAAAAAAAAAAAAAAAAAAAATTGTGACAATCACGTAGGGCTTTTCACTGAGATGAAAAACTTTCCCAGGTAAAAGTGAAGTGGAATCTGAATTCACAAATATGCTTGACTCAAACCTTAAGAAAGGGGATATTGAAGAAGAAATCAATTCATATCGATCCTAAGAAGGGAATGATCTCGTCAGTGTTCTCCATCGTTAGTTTCTTGGATGTTAATTTTACAAAGCAGAATTCCTGTCATACATTACTAAGCCATTTCCCCCTCTCCACGCCCATCCCCCACTCTCCATCGCCAACCCCCTAACAGAGTTATCAGGTGAAGGCGGCTGAATCCGGACTCCACTCAAATGTGTGACCTGTAGCAACCCCATTACTACTCAGGGCCTCAGTTTCTTCCCCTGTAAATTGCAGAACCCAGGTCGACTCTAAAGTCCATTCCTGCTCCGAATTATGAAATACAGAAAAGAAACCAGAAAGGAAACTCAAGAGAAACAAAAGTGAAAGTGCACAAAGGAAATATAGTAGTAAACAAAAGCACAAAATTTTATCTCACCGAAAAACGTGGCAGAGTTCCCAACTACCTTCCCGCCCCCACCCCCCGCCCCCAGCAACCATGAACACGGGACTTGGGAAAGAATGAAACGTCTATCACGCCCTCTGAATGCGAATAAGATCAGCGTAACCCGAATCCACCTTGCTCCAAGCAACTGTCTTCATAAACAATGCTCCCCGACCCTGAACGACCATTTATTAGAAATTTCTTCCAAAGTCGTCAGTCCTTGATGTATGGTCCGTTCCCACATAACAACTCTTCGGCCCCCATAAAACACACAAGGGTGTGTCCCACTTTAGGCAGAGAGAAAAAAAGGGGTAAAGAGTGGAAAGATTCGAATCAATATTAGATGCTGCCTGGCGTTGCCACGCTGCTGTCATAAACAACATAATCGAAGCAAACTATTCTAAAACTTGGGAAATACTCTATCATTTCTTTCCTCAGGTAAATAGCAAGACCTTTCTGAATGTAACCCAGAACGGTACATTCGCCCGGTATCTAAAGCCCCAGCTCTGGGGTGGTCCGACAAGTGGAGGCCACCAGAAAGGACCAAGCTGACAGCTTTACCCAGCGTTTGCGGAGGGTGTGAGACCAGGATAGGCAACCGCCATAGCTAGAGGGTGCGATCTGGACCCACCAATGGTCAGTGGGCTCCCTAAGTCGGAGGATGCTCCTTGTCCGCTGCGGAAGCCTCTCTTCACCGAACAGAGGGACGGACACACACACAGCGAACAGAGGGACAGACGGACGGACACACACACACACACACACACACATCCTTCCCTCGCAGTTGTGTCTCGTCTCTCTTTTGTTTTTCTCCCTTCCCGGTCATGAGACCCGGAAGTTTTTGTTTTTTTTAATCCCGTCTCTCTCCCTTTTCCAAACTCTACCCCCCCCCCCCAATCTATCACATGGCAGAGATAGAATAAAAACAGAAAAATGGCGACGGTCACGTTGTGGCGAGCCTTGCTGCGTCATTAGATATTCCTCATGCAAATAGCGGGAAGAACAAAGGAAGGGGGGCTCAGGACTCGCGGGGGCGCAGGTGGGTGTGGGGGTGGCGGGCCCGGAGCGGGGGCGACGGCGCGTGCGGGGGGCTGGGCGCCTGCGGGAGGCGTGCGGCCGCAGGGCTCCGTGCCGCTGAGTGTCTACGTCCGTGTGCGCGCCCGTGCGCCGCCGTGCAGCGCTGGCCGTGGGCGCCGGAGCCCGCCCGGGGGCGCGGTAAGCCGTGGGGCGAACAGAGGCGTTCGACGAGGCTGGCCGCGGCGCGCGCACACGCACACGCACCGCGGGGCTTGACCAGCTCGGCGCCCGCGCGGGGGGCGGGCCGAGGGCGGGCCGGGCGGGGGCGAGGGCCGAGGGCGAGCTGTTGCCGGTCGCCTGCCTTCCTTCAGCCACCTGGGGGGACCTCACGCAGCTCGTCATCTCTGGGTAGGTAGTGGGGCTCCAGGGAGGCGTCGCGGGGCGGGCTTGGGGCTCCGCACTCCTGCACGGACTTAGAGCATGTTGCTTGGCTGGATTTGTTGTTGTTGCGGTGTGTTTTTCTTCCTGCAGGGTAGGGGGGCGACCTCGCCCAGGGGCATTTCCACGGTTTCCCGTAGGCCCTAGCTGGGATGTCAGACATCGCGCTGGATGTACCAGGGCACGGGTGGCCCCCGGGCGCCCCGCTCCGGCCCTCTAGAGGGGGAGCTGCGCGGAGGGGCGGGGTGGGGTGTGTGTGTGTGTGTGTGTGTGTGTGTGTGTGTGTATGCTAATGTTGCGCACTCGTTTTTCCTCTACCCCCGCCTTCTTCCAGGGTGCTGGCGTGGGTCCCTCGAGGTCCGGCGGCGACTGTAAATAGAGCCTGGATGTTGTTTACATGAAAGATCCGGCGGGAGGAGTCTGCGAGGAGGAGGCGGAGGAGGAGGAGGGAGGGAGGAAGGAGAGAGGAAGACCGGAGTCCCCGCGGCGGCAGCGGCGGCGGCGGTCCGGGTTGAGGGTGAGCCCCGCGCATTCCAGGGATGGGGCGCTAGCACGAGGCTGGGACGTTGGACCCTGGGGTAGGAGAGAATGGGCGCGGGACGGGGAGATGGGGCTCTGTCACCGTGGCATTTTTAGCTTGCAACCTGCCACGCAGATTCTACCGGGCTAAAGGGGAGAGGGTGTGTAGGGAGGGCGGGGAAGCCTCGATTTCTCTTCACGTTCATTCTCTCAGCTCTAGTCTTTTCCCGCTTCTCTGGCTCACCTGTTTATTTTCATCAGCCGGAGCTTGCAGTTTTGTTTTGTTATTTTATGTAGTCATGAGAGGCTGTTTCTTTTATTAGAAGCATTATTGGGGACGGGGGGTGTATTGCTGTAATTTATGCCGGTCCAGGTCGGTTTTCCAGAAGGGGGAGGGGACTTGGCGGAGACCTCCTGATCCTGGCCTTAGCTGACCCGAGGGCTTCTCCTTGCCATCCCAGGCCAAGGAGTCCTTTCTCTCACTCTGCTGCCCACTCGCCAGAAGCCACCTTCTTGGAGAAGGACCACATCTGTGCTTATTCCAGCTTTGGAGGAGAGGTGAGCCAAGAAACCGGGGAATCCTCTGTTCCCCAGAGCTTTCAGCCAACCCCTATCCGAGAATTGGCCAGAAACTGCTTCTTTCACCTGCTGGTTGCACTGGGCACAGCTATCCCCCTTCCTGGCAAGTTTGGTCTACAGATGTGCTGGGATTTTTTTCTTCCCTCTGGACCTGCAGCCCACCAATCAGCGACTAACTGCTGCATTTAGCTCGAGAGACAGAGGTGACCCCCCCCCTTGTTGGTTCAATGCCGTTATTTATTCCACACTGGGTTTTCTAATGGAATCCTCAGCTGTCCCCCTCTAGTTCCCTTCATTTTTCCCCTAAGAGCTTAACCCAGAATCAGGCCTAAGCAGTTTCTGGCCCTCTTTCCCTGGGCCCCACCCTGGCCCCTCTTCCTTCTCCAGAGCCAAATACGCCTCCCAAAGCAGAAGGCACACCCAACCCGAAATCTAACCATACAAAAGGGAGGAGAAAACAGTAGAAAATAAGAGACCCAAGGGTCTCCTTTCTGTCTTGAATGTCCTCCATAGCATTTCCCTCTTCAGACTTCCTAGATTTATAATCCCTTTATTCTTCTTCCCAGCTGTCCCTCCCATCCTCTTTGTCGGTAGTCCTAGGATAGATATTTGGGGAGGTGGGGATGATGGGTGGAGAGAGAGGTCATCACCCTTGTTCCCTGGATTGAGGCATTTCCTTCTCCCAGTCTTTTCATTTCTGACATACTTAAAGAGTAAACTATGTAAATATGTTTGCATGCTTATTTGAACTTGTTTTCTTGCTGGCTAATGAATAGCTGGGAATCAAAAGGGAGTGAGGTGAAACAGATGAGAAGTGAATATTCCCCCTAGTTTCCACCATCTGAGCATCCCCAGAGTTGCTGGAGAAGACCCTTGTGTAAAAGCAAACGGTCTCCCTTCCATGACATCACCCCCTAAGCCCTTCCAACTTTAGCTTCAGAACAGGAAGAAGGCTCAAAATAGAACTACCTTAGGAATCCAGCTCCTTTAGAAGATCAACTTTTAAATCAGCTGCAGGAGGAACACTGAACTTTGACATAGGGAGGGAAAGCTGTAGTGTTTGTAATTGAATCCTTTGGGGAAGGGTGGGGGGATGCTTTTCACGTATATTCAGAAAAGCTTCTCTCAAGATAAGTTGGGTACCTAGACCAATGAATGATTAATAGGATAGTTCGAGATTCATTTATTGAATTATTCATATGTTTCAGTATGTCAACAATAATAAGTACTGTTCAGAATGATTTAAAAAGGGGCTCCTAGAAGGTAGGCTAGAGAGTTGGCCAGAGATAGAGGAGGTTGTGGGGGTTAGGCTGGGGGGGGGGCACTTGAAGAAGGTGAAGAATCTGAGGATGCAGTGACCACTACTGTGAGTATGGAAGTTGAGAGCCTCTTTATAAACAATGGCCATTAGCTTTTGAAGGGTGAGTAATGTCCTGGACAGAGAGGTAACGATTTCAGGATTTTCAACCCTTACCTCAGAAACAAACTATCTCTGAATCTCCCTGTCTCCATTCTTTCCCTGAATTCAGACGTGCCTTTCTCTTTGAGCTAAAAGAAGTTACTCAGTCTTTGGAAGGAGCTGCTTATTAAGCGATCAGCTCTAAAGTATGGACAATTTAAGTAAGGATTAGTAGTGGGGCAGAATATACTTGGCATAATTTGGGCACCAGGTGGGTGCTGTAGGAGGACTTGCTACTGAACGTGTAACATCTTTTAATCTGGCTCAGGTTTAAAAGAATCCAAGTAGCCACTTAGGCATGTGGCTGCCAAGCACCTGAAATATGGCCATGGTGAGGAGGACTAAATTTCAAACTATATATAATTCTTTAACTTGACACATGGTTCAGGTATTAGAAAATGTAAGTAAATTTGGAAACAACTTGGGCATGTGCATGGACTTTTTAAACTGTAAATTTTATACAGTCCAAATACAGACTGAATATTTCTGATGAGTTTAGTGTTCAAATTGATACGTGTTATAAGCATAAAATATGCTCCAGATTTCAAAGATAAGTACAAAAGAAGAAAGTAAAATATCTCATGAAGGTATATATGCACACATGCACATATATATGTGTGTTTAGATTTTATGTATTTATTTTTAAAGAGAGGGGAAGGGAGAGAGAAAGAGGGTGAAAAACATTGATCAGTTGCCTCTTGCATGCCCCTAGTTGGGGACCTGGCCTGAAACCCAGGCATGTGCCCTGACCAGGAATCAACTGGTGACCTTTCGGTTCGAGGAGTGAGTCCCAACCCACTAAGCCACACCGGTCAGGGCGAATAATTTTTACATTGATCACCTGTTCCAATGATAATATTTTGGTTATACTGAGTTTAAACATATTGTTAAAATTAATTTTATCTGTTAATTTTTTTAATGTGGCTACTAGAATATTTTAAATTACATACGTGGCTTGTCTTTTTGCTGGCCTAGAACATCACTCCTGCTCCATGGATTAATTTCAAAACAGGTGACTGCGTGACAGTTATTTCATGTTTATCAATCATCTACTTTCCATGTGCAGATTTGGGAACCCTACAAGTTGTTATTACAGTATTTGAGACCTAATAGTCCTGCTTTGCAGATTTCTATGCAGGACTTGGGTCCTACTCGAGGTCAATAAAATGTGCAGGGTACTAGAAGGGCTAGTGAGGGAGGCATGGGAAAATTTAAGTACCTACACATCTGGCTATGGCTGCTTTTGTAAAAGGCTCTTAGGCATGCCAAAATATATCAGAGAACAGTGGGTGGCACAGTAACAACTATGACACCTGGCAGCACCTTAGTGATTCCACTTACCACTCACCTTTGTTTATTTTCCCTTCCTCCTTCATTTACTTTCTTTCCCCATTCCCCATCATAGCTCCTCTAGTGGTAATTGTACTCAGAAGGTTGCTGACCCATTTCCTCCAAAAAAAAAAAAAAAAAAAAAAAATACAGTGCTGATTTTGAACAGATACAATGCCGTGCCGGGGGTTTGGTTTTGTCCCACGAGCTTCCGTATGGTACTGGAAGAGACTTCGGGGCCATTTAGTACTGTCCTTTACATGTTCGTGTTGACAGACCGTCAAGTACCTTGCCTAAGACTATACCTACAGAGGCTGGCATTAAAGCGTACGCTTTGTTGATAACCTATTTAGAGACTCCCTGAGAAATGAAGAGGTTCATCAATTAATCAAATGTTTGTTGAGCTTGCACTTTGTGGAAAGGATTGCTACTACTAGTGTCGTGAAGGGACATGAAAACAGTCTCTGACTTTAGGAACAATACTGTTGATTTAAGTAAATAAGAGATAAACGGTGCTAAATTAAGTTACAGTATAAGAGCATTTAATAACGAGTATAGCCCCACTGTGGCATATGTTACAAGTAGAAATGTGTTCATTTTACAGATGTAGAATAGAGGATCTGAGAAAGGTGAACTCTGCAGAAAAGAGGAATATAATTGTGTTTCTGGAACAGCCCCCGGTTCTAGAATTGGAGGTCAGTACAAGTCTTTGGTATTGCCCCTTTTAGCTGCCTGTTAAGGGAATTTGAGAATTTAAGACCCAGCATTTTTAAATGGCACCGCTGCAGTAATGAGATCATGAGTTAATTGGAGACAGGGTTTTTAGAGATGGTTAGCTAGGGGCACATCATTTTAACTAGTTACTCTAAGGGTATAATGCCAAGGTGAAATCAGAGTAAAAGTGACTTGTCAGCAGATTGTAAAGTCCAAACTCTTGCGGGGGGTGGGGGTGGGGAAATGGGATCTAGAGCAAAAGCAGAAAGTAAAGTAACTGTGGAGTAGACAGTTGGACTAAATGTATGCTGAGTGAACGTGTAAGGGGTAACCTATATAACAGAATTTATGGGCCAGTCCATTTATTTGTGAATTTTAGTCTCCTGGAGACTTTTAAAGCAAGAAAGTGCATTCCTCTTTCTGTCTGTACGTTATTGTGAACATCGGTCTTTTCCTCCAGGTGAACCTGCTAACGTTATGAAGCATGAGACTATGTAGAGGTCAGTGCTTAAAGTAGGTAAAACAATGACACCCCCAGTTTATGCTTCTCTGTGAGAATTGGGGCAGACTTTGCACAGGGCAGTGGTCCTTAGCTTTTTCTTGCCTTTTCAGCCTATTTCTCTCTCATTTTAAAGTTTCCTGTTAAACTTTGGCACAAGTTAAATTCAAAACATTCTTAATAGTGCAAAGCTTTGCAATAAAATGCAAATACACATTCTCTGCACCTCTTGCAAAGCAGTATTTTGTTGACAGTACATTCTTACAATATCACAGTTTGGTCAAATTTGCGTCTATTATAATGTCACTGAGTTGAATTATGGTTTTCACATTGGGGGAAAAACTCACACTTCAGTAGAAGACTGGTAGATTTAAATTAACCTATTTTAGTTTAAAAGTATTTTCAAATACTTTGTATTGCTAGCAGCTTACTGATACTTCCAATTATTTACTATATAATCAAAATCATTATATTTTCACTTTCAGTCCATAGATAAGAGGGACATAAGATGTTTTTTGTATGTATTTTAAAAGCAAGTCCTTTAGTATACCAGTTGCCAGAAGTACTCGATTTTGTAGATGATAATATTCAGTGCCTGCATCATGAAGAAATTGTTCTCAGTTGTATCACTTTTATGATAGAAGAACTGAATTTAAAATCAATTTACTCTCTGGAGGAAAGCACTTTATATCACTTTCTTTTTCCCTCTGTTACTGCACGCTGTACTTTCATGCTGTAGCATGAGCACCTGCATTCACTTGTTTTAAAATTAAAACAATTCTATTTTTATGAAGAAAAATTTATGAAAAAAAATGTTTCTGGTAGATTAGGGTTTCTTTTTAAATGAACATTTATAGAGAATAATTTTCAAGAACAAAACACTTTTGAAGCGTTTATTAGTACTTATAAAATACAATTCTAAAAACCCATAGTTTTCTTCCTTGAAACAGTTTTAGAATTATTCTGAGAGAATATTAATTTCAGGAACTAATCTCAGAGTGGCAGTTTGCTTTTTATAACTTGGTCTCTTGGTTTTTTAACCCCCAATTTAGAGTGAAAAAAATTGAAAGAAGAGAAATATGAAATAAAGGAAATATCCTTTACTTATTGTACTACAAATGTTTAGTTGGTCTTGGCTAATAGAGTGAATTTCAACTTTGTAGTATATTACAAACATTAAGTTCATCTTTGTGTACTTCATATTCAGACATTCAGTTGCACTAGTATTCAGTCCTACAGTCTAATAATTAATAAGTACATCAGTGCCATTTATTTGTTCCCATACTTACCCTCCCTCCAGTATTGAGTATTCGTCTTTTCTAAAGTGGACAGAACTTGTGCCTAGAAAATGTTTAGGTGCTTATCTTTTTATCCTTTTGATGGATCAGCTATCTTACATGTTATTCTCAAATAATCACAATATCTTTGTTCATTTAACAGATGTTTATAATTTGGGTGAAAATGTGGAGCTATTTCCAGGAATCTTACTATGTTATGGGATCCAACTTTTTCTTAAAAAAATCTTCGTTGCCCTCTCGTGTTTTAACTTTGTATTACATCAGTTAGCTAAGACCTAGGCAATGACCTCTTTAACTTTTAAATATTTTTGCACTTTAGAGAATGTTGTTTTAATTTGTGTGTAGGTAGATTATTTCTTTGAATATTACTTTTCTGAACATAAGGTCAGTTTCATAGTGCATAAGTTAATAATTGAGCTAGAATCATTGTACTCTTTTTCTTTTTACTTTTGATTAAAAGAATTGATTCATCTTCTGACTTGAAGTACAGTGCTTAATATCTAATTTGCATATAGTGAGTCTTTGAAACTGAGCAAATACCTAATTGAAAACATAATTATTTTTCAAATGTCTGTCAAGTTTTACACCTATTGTGAAATAACTTGAGAACTTATGACTGATATGGAAAAACAACAAATGAATCATGGTTTTAATAAGTCCATATTCTAAAGCCTGAATTCCAATTTCAAAATCTTTTTTGTCCTTTTTTAATAAAAGTAAGAATCATCCCTGAAATGACTTCAGGGTACATCTCAAAAGGTACAGGTAATTTCAAAGCATGTGATGTGTATATGTTGATTTTTTAAAGAAGGCATTCCGAAGGTTGTCAGTGATTCTTGTACCACAATTGTAGGACTGACAGCGACTACAGCGGAAAACACCCTGTGCTGTGCTAAATACGTAATTATCAGTGTCATCAATTCGAGTACATTCTTAGCCCTCAAAACAAGAACAATGTCTTTTTTTTTTTTTTACTAATGTACATGTCTTAAAGCATAAAACCCATACTGGTTTCTGCTTTATGAGATGAGATATTCAGAAAACTAAAAATCTTAAGCAAAAAGTGGATGTTTTCAGAAACCTTTTTGTTTGTAAATTGTACAGTCTGAATATCCAGTTGATGGAGGTGAATGACCAGGTTGGGGTAGAGAGAAAAGCCCTGGGCTCAGTCATTAGACATAGATTTGAGCCCAGGTTCACCATAACTTAGGGTATGGTCTCCAGTAAAATATCTAACCTCTGTAGGTTATTTTCTATCTGTAAAATGGGCTAATGCTATCTAATGTATTTCCAGAATCCTTTTTTGATGAATTAATAATTCATTGGCAACCCAACAGGGTTCTTGTGAAAACCAAATGAGATAGTACATAGAAAATTATTGACTGTCAGAAGTGAAGTATTATTGCTGTTTGATTGGGAGAACTTTGAGAGCAGGGACCATGTCTGCCTTTTTTTCTTTTTTTTAAATCCTCACGTGAGGATATGCTTTTTATTGATTTTAGAGAGGAAAGGAAAAAGAGAGAGAAACATCAATCAGCTGTCTCCTATAGGCTCTTTCAGTAGGGATTGAACCCACAACCTGGGTAGGTGCCCTGACTGGGAATCAAACCCACAAACTTTTGGGGTAGGGGACAGTGCTTCAACCAACTGAGGCACCCGGCAAGGGCCGTGTCTTACTTATCTTAATTACTTAAACATCCAGAAGTGGTCTTGGAACATTGTAGTCCCTCAATAAATATTTATTTCATGAATGAGGTCGAGGATAGAGTCAGTGAATCTGTGCATGGAAGAAATACATTGTGAAACAAGCTGGAAAGCTTACTGCATAATCGTGTTTGCTCATTCTCATTTAATGTGTATAAATCATGTGTTCGTCTTTCATTCTGTTATAGTTCAGCTGGGCCTCTTACTATTTCAGCATCACCATTTGCAGTTTTTCTTCTGCTTCCCTCATCTTGAACCAGAAGGGGATCTTTTAGTCTTTCACTTCATGGGGGGGCCTTCAGAGGGAGCCATTCGGTCACCCGGAAAGGACGCCGCCAGCCAGCACAGTGACTGACAGGCTGCCCTGGCTCAGTTATCACAGTGCTGATGCTGTCCATTCTAAAGGTACAGTACTGTGATAACTGAAGGATGGCAGCCATCTTGCCTTCCATCAAAGGAGCCATCGTGCCCAGAAAGGAAGACAGAAGATGAAAAAGGCATGTGAAACAGGTGCAGGGATCCAGAAACCCTCTCACACTGTTCTTTTATTGTACTTACCCCAGTGCAAAGGGAATGTTTTTCCATCTGTCTTTGCCTTATTTTTAACACGGGGTTAAAGGGAGTTGGGTAGTTAGCACAGCAGTGTGAAGACTTGTGCTGAGTGGACTTGTATTATGATCTTTGGGACTTTTAGGAGACTGAGATAAGTGCTGAGTGTGAATTAATATTTTGGGAGGGAAGTTCAGAGAAGTTTGTGCCATTTTTATAAATGTAAATGGTAACCTAATTAGAGTGGCTTGGCACTTGTCAGTATTACCTGTTCAAAGTGAAATTCCACTTACACAGGGAGAAGGAAAAAACCATACATGTGGAACAGTATTGATACAGTTCAGCGGTTTTCAACCTCATGGCACAGACAAACTAATTACTAAAATTCTGTGGCCCATCTGACAAAAAATAGATATAATGTTGACTCATTGACACTGAACAGCTATCGTGTGGCTGTTGTCATTTTTTTCATTGGATAATCAAAGGGAAAAGAGGTCAGTGCCCCTGACTGCAGCAGTCAGGTATTGCATGTTTTAAAAATTCTGTGGCAGAGTGGCTGAAAATCGCTGATGTAATTGATGAATAAAATTCAGTCTTTGTGTTTAAGGAATGGGTATGGACATAGCGTTTTTTTCCCCAAGAACATAAGTGTTTAAAATATACTGTTATTTTTTTTAAAAAGTGTCTGTTGAATGCCTGTGTAATTGCTGTTAGTGTCACCTTTACGTGAAAATAAAACATTATTTTTATCAACTAGTTAAGGACCACCTTGCAGTGACATCTCTAGGATATTTTACAGAGCACACATCTTCAACCTGCATCCTATTCGGGACAGTATTGTGGGGTGGGGTCATTAGAGAAGCCAGGGTTTCCAAGACTCCTCAGACATGGACAGCATCAGGTGAGAATCAAAGTGCATGACTTTATCATATGTGAGATCGCAGCTGACTGCAAGCTCAGGTAATTTCATGTAGTTTAGGCTCAGTGCCTAAACAAGGATCTCTTACCTTTTCCCAGGCTCATGTCTATATCTGGGAGCCTCCTGTGGATGGCTGACTGGTGAGGAACCCAAAGCAGTGTGACCCATGTGCTTGGGCACAGAGAACAAGGCCTGTGAAGGTCAGGCCCTGCTTGGACCTGCCAGTTACCACAGGGTGACAAGAGCCAGTATGAGGGGAAAAACGTGTGATGTTTTAACATACAAGAGTCCTAACCCACTAATCAGCACAGCCCAGTCGTTGTCTTAGACTTGGGCCATTAGTAGTATAAAGTCCTTCACTGAAACAGTAAGGAAAAAAGGGAACAGGAAGCAAGTGGCAATTCACACAACTCTTATCCTCACGTCTCCTCTTGCTCCTGAAGAAGTAACCCCTTGAGCCACACCTGCTTGTCCCTGAATTGTTATTTTCCACGCGGCATTGACCACACGATGGCCTGGTACTTTCACATGTCTTCATATATTTAGAATTTCTCTAAACTGCAGCTAGACTTACGTTTTTGATTAATTATAAGGAGCAATGGCTCTGCCCAGTTGTGTGTTATCCCACCAGCCCCGCTCCTTTAACAGAAAAGGAATTTCTGACAGAAACCCTGGAAGAACTTCTAAGAAAGGAAAGTTCTGGGATCGGTGAATTCTCAAGTAATTTGAAACACTCCTGATTTTTAGTAGTATAGCAGGTGGAAAAAAGTGCTTCAGGGAGTGAGGTGTTGTGCAATCATTGGCCTCCATGAGCATTTCACCACCTTCCCTGATCTTCCTGTTTTCCTGTTAGTAGTTCCATAAAAAATTAGGTTTCATACTTACCCGACATTGATGTCGGGATCCGCACCCTAGTCTGTGGGGTGTTACGAGGTGAGAATTGAGTCCATTTCTACAGATGGAGCCATACTGGGTCCCACTTCCTGTCAATAGGGAAGACTGACGCTCAGTCTGCTGTAGGAGCTCCAGGAGGCTTGCCTTGACCTGGAATCCTAAGCATCTTCGAGGCAGTTCATAGAAGTAAAGTGTTCGACAAGTTAAGCGAGGAGTAATGCGAGAGAAATCTGATGGGGTTTTTCCACTGCTTAGATTAAAACATACGAAGTCTGTTGGTATATTCGTTGCATTCTTCAGTTTAGGTATGTGAGAATGGGAAGAATAGAATAAAGATAGAAATACCGTATGATCCAACAATTCCACTTCCGAT